CTTCTATCCAGAGCTTTTTAACCCTTTAGACACTGATAATCAACTTGGATTTAATGCGATATTTGTTTTCGTTGATAAATTTTCAGGACTTAACACTCTTGGCATATCGTTAACATATGCTAAATTTGCACCTCGTGGTGTAGCTCCTCCACATATTCACCCTTGAGTCTCTGAAATTATTATAGTTTTAGAAGGTATAATCTTTATTGGTTTTGTTGTATATGATCAAAACAACAATACTTTGGGGAACAAAATTTTTTTAAGGGGGGGAGAGTTGTAACGCCCAAGTATTTTTTTTTTTTATTCTTATTATTTTATTTATATTTATTTTTCTTTTTTGTATTTGAATTTTTTAGATTTTTATTTAATTTAATTTAGTTTAATTTAATTTAATTTAATGGAAATAAAAATAATAATAATGATAAAATTGGGTAAAAATATTATTTGGATTTAATTAAAATTGATTTTGGGAAAAAATGGTGAAAATTTGGATTCTGGTGGTGTTTTTGAAAAGAAAATCGAAAACCGGGGGTCAAAACACAATTTAAAAAAGTTGTGCCACGTCAACAGCTAGGTCAGCAGCCCCGGCCAACCTGGACACGCCGCGTGGCAAGAAAACTCTGACACGGGACGAGCCACGTGGGCGATCCGCGTGCGCGCGATCGGACGGCCCAGATCAAACGTGCGCACGAACAGCCCAGATTCACGCGTACGGACGGTCCAGATTCAATCAGGCACAGACGGCCCAGATTGCATCGCGATGGACGGCCCAGATTTAATCCTAATTAAATCGCGATCGGATGGTCCAGATTTAATCTTGATGGACGGTTAAGATTAAAAGGCTAAGGGTATAAATAACCCCACCCACACCTGACCACAAAACCCTAACCGCCAGTGCCTCACCGGAGAAGAAGAACCAAACGCCAGAGGAGCCAGCCGCCGCCACCTGCCGCCGCACCGGGGAAGTTTTCGATCGCCGATCGTGGTAAATTTTCTCTCCCTTACTCGTTTTTCGATGCCAAATCCGCCTATGGCCAAACCGGAGCCAAACCACCGGTCAAACGGCCAAAAAACCCTGCCGAAGCCCGGCGGTGCCGCCGTGACTTCCCTCTGTTTTTGCCTTCGATGAGGCCCTTTCCGGCATCCGTTCGATGCAAATTTTATACCACTGTGATCACCGTTCTTTTCTCTACAGGTTGATCGAAGCCAAACATTAAAACGCGACCCACACTGGAGGAGTCGCCGCACCCGAGAGCACCGCCGTCGGTAAGTCTCAGTTTTTCGTGATTTTTTGGCCCACCGAGGGCCATAGGGTTGTTTTATCGCAAGGACCGATGCAAGTTTGGCCGAATTTGGCTGAAAACGGCCAACCCAAGGCAGATTGCCGCCGCAGGCGGCGGTGCCGTCGCCAGAGCACAGCGGAGCCGCCGTTTACTGATTTCTGATATAGGTCGAAAGGGGCCATATGTCTGATTTGGGATTTTTTGGGACACGTGCAGATACTGGTAGTACGTTTCAGTTTTTCGAAAAAAAAATTCAGGAAAATTAGGGATAGCTCGTAGGTGTACTGTAGAGTCGATTTCAGACTCCGAAATAAGTAAGGATCTCTCACCCTATTTCCTATCACGGTATTAAAGCTAAATAAATAATTAAACTGTACTTTGTGACTTTATAGATGTATAATTGATTAAGGTTGCCAATGGAGCCCGAGTCTGACACAGTGTTGGTCTGTTGTTGTTTGATCTATTTTTCAGTATTAAATGCAGCATGATGTCTGATGTATTTATTTTATGGTCTCGTATGCATGAATCATGGTTTCTTTTATTATGGTTGATATTATGGTTAACTCGATATTGTGTTGTCTTGTTTGGTGTCAATTACTGGTTTATATGTTTGTGTATGATTGGATGATTGAGACCAAGGAAAATGGCAAAAAGGTTATATGAATTGATGAGTGGATAATGTGGACAGCCTGACTAGATATCCTAGAAGATGGTGGACGGACTAGGTCCGTAGGGAACCCTACCGAGAACGTGGTCTCTCATACCGGACGGGGTATGAAGACCTTATGTGTTTTGGCGTCCATACCGGACGGGGTATGGGGACAGTCCGTCTTACCCTCATACCGGACGGGGTATTGAGATTCATGGTTTTGGCGCCCATACCGGACGGGGTATGGGGACGGCCCTGGAATCAGGTTGTAATGTTAATGGTTCACGGGTAGCGGGGACCCCCTATGGATCCCCATGGATACTAGTAGGCTAGTAAAAGAGAAAAATATATTATTTAATCATTGAAATGCAAATGCGTGGTAAGTGTTATGTTATAAAGTTTATATGATTTCATGATGATGATAATGTTATTGCTTTCATATGTTGTTTTCATGGATCTCACCGAGGTAAGTGGACAGTAAAGATTTTTATGTTAATAAACGAGTTTGTTATAAATTATGCTTCATTGGTCATTTTTATTTTCTACCCACTTTTACTTCCGTGGCAGTGAGATAGTGTGATGTCCTTACTGGGCTGGTGTACCTCATTCCTTATTTAACTATTTCAGATCAGGAAGACGTTGTTCCCGAGTCCGTTCCGCAGGAAGAAGGCGAAGGGGACGCCTAAAAACTTCATAGTTATATTTATAGTTCTTATTTCGAGTATCTCTTTTAGTTAGTTTGTTCCTTTATGTTTTGAGTACGTTTCGGTTATTGTGTAAGGGATGTTAATTAAAAATTTTATTAGGCTTCCGCATTTGAGATTTTTAATACATACATTTCATTTAAATTTCTGGGACCGTTACAGGTATGGTGAACCTTATCTTTGAGTGGATAGAAACCTTTACAGACGTGGTTGGGGTGTGTGTTATGTTCTGGATCACCTGGCGCAAACTGCTGTGACCAATATGTGTTTTGGTTGTGTGAGTGTATTCCCTTGTGATAGTGGAAATCCTGATCTCATAATGGTACCAATTGGATAATTGATTCACTCGTTCAATCTCAAAAAAAATCTAAAATTTTAATAATTTTAATTTGATGACTTTTTTGGGATGAATCGAGAATCGAGGATACCCACTGAGGGGTTACGCATGTATCAATTTAATTGAAAATTTGTGAAAAATTCTAGTATGTGAATTAGAGGGAAGCTGATAGATGAGTATGATTTTGGAACCAAATGTGATGTGATAATAGTGTGAGATATGAATTGTTACAATTAGAAAATTAAGAAAAGAAAAAAATTAGGGTGATAACGAGAAAATAATTAGAAAGAGAAATTTTGAGAAATAACTATTAAAGGAAAAATAGTGAAGGGAAAAGACTAGGCAAAAGGAAGTTAAGGGGAACAATGAGAGATGAGATAGGAAATGGAATATCTCTGCATTTCATGGTTTTCAAACATAAAGGGAAAAAAAAGTTTTACATTTCTGATTGACTGTACATTGGTATGTCGTAGGTTTAGGGTGTAGTCTATTTAGTATACTTACTAAGCCCGTTATTTTGCTCATTCTATTCAAACTCTAATCATTTTTCAGATCAAACTGAGAAAGATAATTTATAGAGACAAATCAGGAATTTCATATTTTAGTTTTATCTGATGAATTTTAGTCCAATTGTGGACTTTGCAGAATTTTGTAACCTCATAATATAAATTATGTTACATGTTGTATAAGGGATGAATAGTTTCTACTGTATTTTAGTTTAAATTTATATTATATTTTTTGGTTCAGTTGCATTTGGCAGCGTGGTTTCTTGTTGGAGAACTGCGGGCCATCACACTTGGGTTAAGTTTGAACTTATCGAATAAGATTTCCTAAAGTGCAAATGCTTTATGTATAATAGGAATTGTGATGAGATGCTTGGACCAGATTTCCAAAGATAGTATCTATATGAAAATTTTTAATACATAAAATTTATTTTTAATATCTTTTATATATATATATATATATATATATATAAATATGTATACATGTTGCTTTTTTTGTGTAGCAATAACTCATTAAAGTATTTGTTACTTATAATTTGTTACAATCATATATCACTTAACTTCTTTTTCATATTCTTAGGATTATACAGGGTGGTTCTAGTTCAAATTTGCAACTACTATTAGAAATTTCTTCTTATTCGATTTAAACTTTTATTTTCTTTTATTTCTGTTCATCATACAAGAATTCCTCTCTGATTTTGAAATAAAAACTTCTCTTCATATTTGTTTTTAATTTAAATTTATTTTAGATTAATTGTTACCATCTATTAAATACTTCATATATCTATTATAGTTAGTTTTGAATGTTCATAAATTTTTTTTTCATGAATACACTGTATTATGATATTTCCAACTCTTAAATTGAGCGGTATGTAGTATTTAATTTTTAGAAAAAAATAAAAGAAAACAATCTCAGCTCTGTTAACTTATAATATATAATATGATTTATATATGTCGTCTCATGACAATTGTGATATTTCAAACCTTCATGTATGGACAAAGGATGGGCGTGTGACATATCAACATCATAAAGCAACCATTTACCTAATCATTTATAACGCTTTTCCTTATGGGAAAAAAAAATATTTTTGTGGGCGTATCAGATTGAATGTTCTTTAATGGAAATTAAATTAGTTCTTGTTGGATCATGTTTGTTAATTACACTAATAATTAGAGCTATGAAGTTACTCAGTATAGAACAATAATTAAAAATATTTATCTCCTAAAAAATTATATATTTTTATATACTCTCTAATCACATATATCAATATGTGAAATATCTATAATCAATACGAAATATATAAATAAAAAATAAAAGATGAACTTTAAATTTGTATGCGAGTGCTGATTTTATTTTCAAGTTGAAATGACAAGTCTCCTACTTGCTAAAATGGATTATTAACTTCTCAGAACAAACCATTGGTATATATTAGTGGGTTTTCCAAGCAAAATTTTTCACATAATTTTGAAGAACTGATTAGATATATTAAATTATTACTGCTAACAATTTAATTTAAATTAAGAATGAAAGGATTTCAGTTTCTTGTTGTTGTTATCTTCTTGGCTTTGGTATCATCTTTTGCTTTTGCTTATGATCTAAGTTCTCTTCAAGATTTCTGTGTCGCCACTAATAATATGGAGCTCGCTGGTAACGGTCTTCCATTTTGTTTATTGTTATTTTCTTAAAATTTTATAGTTAATGTATATAATTATTTTTTATGCAGTATTTGTGAATGGAAAGTTCTGTAAGGATCCAAAATATGTTACATCTGATGATTTTTTCTTCTCAAGAATTGACATCCCTCAATCAATAGATAATCGATTTGGAGAGAATGGCACACTTGTAAATGTTGATAATTTACCGGGACTTAATACTCTTGGAATGTCGCTAGCATATTCTCAACATGCACCTCGTGGCCTAAGTCCTCCTCATTACCACCCTCGGAGCTCTCAAATTGCTGTAATTTTGGAGGGAACTGTATTTTTTGCCTTTGTTGTATCAGATCAAAATAATAATACCTTATTCTATAAAACCCTTTATCCTGGAGATGTTTTCGTGATCCCAATCGGACAAATTCACTTGGAATATAATATTGGAGATAGTACTGCTATTACCTTAATTGCTTTCAACAGTCATAATCCAGGACTCATAACTATATCTGATGCTATTTTTCAGTCTAATCCACTTATAGATCCTTATATTCTTGCTAAGACATTTCAACTAAATATTGATGTAGTAGAATATTTACAAAGTGCTGCTTAGTATCATAAAGAGAGTAATATTTACTATTTATATATGTTATAATAATCTTTTCTAATGTAGCTGCTAATAGTTACGTACAATGTAATAAAAAGTGTGTTCAAAAATTTTACCTTTCTCTTTATGTTTGTTGTAAAAAGACTTGTCATACAATGTTTGAAGTTTGTAAAAAGCTTATATTTTATTTATTTATGTATTTTCTGAATTTATTTTGTTATTTGCGTGTTTCCTCAACCTTCTATCATTTTAGTTGTGAATATCCAACCGTGTTTTTACTAATCGTTCTTTTATCTAATTCTATATTACTAAAAATATAACAATTTTTCCCGCAAATTAAAAAATAAAAACTAAAATAATTGAATCAAAGAAATACACTTTTCTTGAAAGGAATAATTTTATCCCATAATAGATATTTCTCTGAAAATGTGAATTTCATAGAGTTCTTACCAAGAAGAATATGCTTAATTTTTATGGTGTTAAAAAACTCAAAATTACACTTCATGTTTCTAATTGCTTGGAGTTGTAACAATGGGACATGGAGAATTTGTGGGGGCTGGTATTGCTTGAAGCTGAAGGAGTGGAAATTGGTGAGTTTGTTGGTGTTGATGTTTGCGTTGAATCTTCTATCTCACTAGTTGAAATTTTAGTTTGTCGTGGAGATGTTTTTCTTGTCCCAATCGCACGAGTTCACTTTGCCTATAATATTGGAAATACTACTGCTGCTGCTTTAGTTGTTTACAATAGCCAGAATCCAGGAGTTACGGTAATATCTAATGCTATATTTGGATCAAATCTGTCTATAAATCTTTATATTCTTATCAAGTCATTTCAATTGAATATTGATGTGATAGAATATTTACAAAGTGGATTTTAATATAATGAGAGGAGTAATATCTATTATTTAATATATGTTATAATAATATCTTATGGATATGCTGCTAATAAATTATGTATAAAGAAGGTATTAATCATTTACATTTCTCTATATGTTTCCTATTAAAGATCATTGTAATGCAGGTCTTTGAAATCCCTTAGCCTTTGTCTTTCTCTTCACTTTTTCTACTCAGAAGTGGAGAAAGAAACACATACATACATACATATATATATATGCCAAGTGTATGAAGACATTGATTTTATACCTGGAATTGCTTTTTGGGTTATGAATACCTGTACGTGCCTATTTAACAAAATTATCCAATTAATCATCTAACCCATTTGCACAGTGCTGGCCTTTTGATTTTATGTACTTTTTTTAATTATATATTAATAATTTTTTTTTTTTCTCATCTTTTGATTCCTTAATAAAATTATCGTCAAAAAAATTAGTAATTATTGAAAAAATTTACTAATTGTTCTTTCGCCTAACTTCACCCTACTTTGAAATGTAACAATTTTCTTCTCAAGTTAAAAATATATAAGCATCAAAACTATTCTTTTTGTGAAATGAATGTAAATTTATGGAATTCATAACTCGTTTTTTAAATATATATATATCTTCAATTTTGACATAATTTTTTTTTGTGTATTTTGAACACAAAATTAATCCCTAAATTTTGTTTATTTAAGCAATAAATGACTGAATTAAAAGAAAAATGTTGCTCATGTGTAACGACTCGCTTTCTCTGTCGAGAAATGAGAGGTATTTTACAAACATAACCTAATAAATTTATGCACCGATGAACAAAAACTTAAGATTCAATCATCCCCTATACGGAATTATAAGTCATGAGGCTTACAAAATTCTTTACATTACATTACATTACTATAATATAATTAAACTAATTTTGTAATACAAACTCTTACTGTCACTAAATGTTGTTCAAAGTCTTCATTTGATCTTGAACTTGCACTTGATCTAGATTAATCTGCATTAGGAGTGTGAATTAGGGTGAGCTTTATGGAGTTAGTAAAAAAAAAAGGCAGTACCCATAACAAAGACATGCACACACTCAATCACCAAATTTTTTAAATCAATTTATTCAGTAAACATTCGTAATTCATTATTTTAGTATCATAACTCAGAACATAAATAGTTTTATAAACAGAATAATTCAGTATTCAATATTACAATTTAAGCAGTAAATAATTCAGTAGATTAAAACGTACTTCAAATACCTAAAAATATCCCAAAAAAATCCAAAATCAGTGTTATGAACTCTTTTTGGTCAATTTTGGGGATTCCGGCACGGCACCGCCAACTGCGGCGGCGGTTTGCCTCGGGGTCGGTTGTTTTCAGCCGTTTTCGGCCTAATTCGGCTGCTTTTGTACCAATCTGTTCGAGAAAATACATTAAAGGATCTCGGTTGTCCGAAAAAAGTCAGAAAATTGAAACTTACCGGTGAAGGTGTTCTTCGGTGCGGCGGCTCCGCCAGCTCAACTCGCGGTTTGGTGTTTTACTTCAGTCAACCTATAGAGAAAGAAACGGTGATTACAATTGTAGAAGAATTACGCAGAACGGGAATCGGAAAATGTCTCATCGGATACAGTTTTTGCATTTTTTTGTGGCGGCGCCACTGGACTTTACCCGCGGTTTCCGCCCAATCTGACAGTCCTCTTACTCCGATTTAACCATTGGGGTGTTTAAAATCGAATTTCGAGTAAAGAAAAAAAATTTCACCTCAAATAAAAATTAAAAAATTATATTTATTAATTAATTTTAACTACAATTAAAATTAATTAGGGCATTACAAATAATATCTTATTCTATAAAATCATTTATCCTGAAGACATTTTCCTTATCCCAATCGAACAAATTTACTTGGAATATAATATTGGAGATAATATTGTTGTTATTTTAATTGCTTACAACAATCATAATCTATGAGTAATAATTATATCTAATACTACTTTGGATCAAATATGCCTATAAATACTTATATTCTTAATTAAATATTTTAATTGGATATTGATCAAATGAAATATCTAGAAAATATATTTTAGTACAATAAAAAGAATAATAATTACTATTTAATATGTTACTATTATATTTCATAAATATCATTGTTAATAATTATATAAGACGTAATAAAAAATATATTAATCATTTACCTTTTTCTCTATATTTCCTATAATAAAATTACTCTCTCTATGTTTCTTGTGATAAGATTATCGTAATAAAATGTTCAAAGTTTGCCGATTTTCTCTTTCTCTCTTCATTTTTTCTAGGGGGAAAGAACATGTTACATACATATGTCAAAGCGGATGAAAATATTGACTTTATATTTGAAAGATTTTTATAAATATTGCTTATACAGACTTATTAAATTCACTAAATTATCAAATGACCTCACCCATTTGAAGGATTGACTTTGTATTTGTTTATAAAAAAAATAATTTTAAAAGGCATACAGGACTATTCATATCTATAAAAGAAATAAAACAAAAAAATCAGAAGGTCCTGAATTACAAAGCACCCATCAAAATTATTAAGTGCTCTTTTGAGCTAATAGATAGCCAACCTCATTATATATATATATATATATGTAAAAAAAAAAAAAAAAAAAAAAGCAAACCCTCTTTACCTCCCTCCAAAATTTTATCGGACCCTTCTAACTCATCTCCATAAATTCCTAAGTCAGTTTGTATTCTCACATCAAAAGGATCAGATAAAAATTCTGTATAAAAGTTTTGTTTAATCTTTCGTAAGAAATTAAGTTAAATTTAAGTTTTTTGCTACAATTTTATCTTATTAATTACAAGTATTAGAAAATAATTGGAATAATATTTGAAAGTATACGAACTAAATTAATACAAAACTATCATAGGAACCAAATCAAACAACAATAAATAGTACAAAAACTAACTTTGTATTTTAGCCTAACTAAAAGTATTTTTATCTCCCGAAAAGTTATATATCTCAATAGACCCTCTAATCACATTAATATGGAAATATTTTTATATCAAGATAAGATATACTAATAAAAGGACAAAATTAACTTTGTACATCGGTGCTGATGTCACAATTTAAAATGACAAGCCTCCTACTTGCTAATAAAATGGAGTATCAAATCATCAAGGGAAACCATATCGATATATGTTGGCGGATTTTTCATGCAAAATTTTTCCATCACTTCAAATAATTGTTTAAGAATGAAGACTTTTCAGTTTCTTGTAATTGTTGTCTTCTTGGCTTTGGCATCATTCATTGCTTATGCTTATGATCCAAGTCCTCTTCAGGACTATTGTGTTGCCACCAATGACACCGAACTTGGTGGTAATGGTCTCTTTTTATTTAACTTGTCCTTACCTTTTTTAAAATATATATATATGTTAGTTTATTTAAAAGATATTTAAATTATTGGACAGCTTACTTATATACATACAATTATTTTATGCAGTGTTTGTGAATGGAAATTTCTGCAAGGATCCAAAAGATGTCACGTCCGATGACTTCTTCTATCCAGAGCTTCTTAACCCTTTAGACATTGATAATCAACTTGGATTTAATGCAATATTTGTTTTCGTTGATAAATTTCCAGGACTTAATACTCTTGGCATATCGTTAGCATATGCTGAATTTGCACCTCGTGGTGTAGCTCCTCCGCATATTCACCCTCGAGGCTCTGAAATTATTATAGTTTTAGAAGGTACTATCTTTATTGGTTTTGTTGTATCTGATCAAAACAACAATACCTTCTTCTACAAAGTTCTTGGTCGTGGAGATGTTTTTCTTATCCCAATCGCACAAGTTCACTTTGCCTATAATATTGGAAATACTACTGCTACCGCCTTAGTTGCTTACAATAGCCAGAATCCAGGAGTTACAGTAATATCTAATGCTATATTTGGATCAAATCCACCTATAAATCCTTATATTCTTGCCAAGGCATTTCAATTGAATATTGATGTGATAGAATATTTACAAAGTGGATTTTAATATAATGAGAAGAGTAATATCTATTATTTGGTATATGTTATAATAATATCTTCTGGATATGCTGCTAATAAATTATGTACAGTGTAATAAAGAAGGTATTAATCATTTACATTTCTCTATATGTTTCCTATTAAAGATCATTGTAATGCAGGTCTTTGAAATCCCTTAGCCTTTGTCTTTCTCTTCACTTTTTCTACTCAGAAGTGGAGAAAGAAACACATACATATATATGCCAAGTGTATGAAGACATTGATTTTATACCTGGAATTGCTTTTTGGGTTATGAATACTTGTATGTACATCTATTGTTCTTGGCTGTTTCTTGACTGTTATTAGCAAGAAGAATATGCTTGGCTCTTATGTATTAAAAAATCATAATTACACTTCATGTTTTTAATGTTTCTAAGAGTGGTACGTACTGTAGATCTATTTTTTTTTTAATTGGTTTAAAAATTAAATTGACAACTATTAGAAAATCTAGGTCACTAAGAGCATACAAGATCAAAATAGCAAATACAACATTATTACAAATATACAATTAGCTAGCTCAATATAACGATGAGCACCCATTAAAAAAATTTTAAGGAAAGATATTCGATAGACACATGAATCGCACAATCACTAAAATCTCTCATAGAAATATATGATATTAATAAGTATAAATTTGAGTTTATTTAGATAAGAAAATTAATATGATTTTAGTTGATAATTGGGATTGTGTGATTGAATTTTTTTAGTTAAGTAATTTATGTTCTTTAGTTGTATTTTTTTAAATATTAATATATGTAATTATTTAGGCGGTCCTTTACTATTTTTTTTTATTTTGATTCTTGTATTTTTTTTTATCTTTTTAGTCCTTATACTTTTAATAATTAAGCATATTATTCCATCTAATTAAAGTTATATTTCTATAGCATAGTTTTTATCCACACAAGTAACGGATATAACCTATGTATTTCTTATATATATGTGTGTGTGTGTGTGTGTATATATAGCTACTGTTTCAAGAATAAAAAGGACTCGGGGGGGGGATGGGTGTATCTGTCATAGAAAGTCGGGGAACAAGGGGAAGCATTTAGTTATTTCTTATCTCTTTGGTTTTGAATTAAAGGGAGGTATGGGGAGAAGTCTCAGCAGTCGCCCCAACCACACCACTATTCTCATCCACCAAGGTTGAAGTTGTTCTTCTTCAATTCCAATTCTCTTTATCGAACCAATCTAAACAAAATGCTTATAATTAATTATTCATCTTCAGTTTCCAATTAAACAGTAATTAATTCTGATAATAATTAATTACATGTATAAGATTTATATATGTTTCCTCATAAAAATTCGGGTGATTATTATCTTTCAATATACCGAGTATATTACATATAGTGAAAAAGATGGGCGTGTGCCAAAACATCATAAAGCAACCATTTACCTAATTGTTTATAATGCTTTTCCTTATGAGAAGAAAATATTTTTGTAGGCGTATCAGATTTAATGTTCTTTAAATGAGAATGAAATTAATTCTTATTGGATCATGTTCGTTAACTACACTAATAATTAGAGCTATGAAGTTACTCAGTATAGAACAATTAACTAAAAATATTTCGTCTCCCAAAAAAATTATATATTTTTATATACTCTCTAATCACATATCTCAATATCTGAAATATTTATGATCAAGACGAAATATACAAATAAAAAGAAAAAAATAAACTTTCGCTGATTTTATTTTCAAGTTGAAATGACAAGTTTCCTACTTTGTTAAAATGGATTATTAGATCCTCAAAACAAACCATTGATATATATTGGTGGGTTTTTCAAGCTAAATATTTCCCATAACTTTGAAAGACTGCTTAGATATATTAAATTATTACTGTTAGTAATTTAATTTAAATTAAGAATGAAAGGATTTCAGTTTCTTGTAGTTGTTATCTTCTTGGCTTTGGTATCATCCTTTGCTTCTGCTTATGATCCAAGTCCTCTTCAAGACTTCTGTGTTGCCACTGATAGCACCGAGCTTGGTGGTAATAGTCTCCCATTTTGTTTATTATTAATTTTTAAAAATTTCATACTTATTTATTTACAATTATTTTTTATGCAACATTTGTGAATGGAAAGTTCTGTAAGGATCCAAAAGATGTCACGTCTAATGACTTTTTCTTCCCAAGAATTGATATCCCTCGATTAATAGATAATCAATTTAAGGTCAATGCCACAATTGTTGACGTTGATCAATTGCCAGGACTTAATACTCTTGGAATATCGCTAACGTATGTTAAATTTGCACCTCGTGGCCTAGCTCCTCCTCATTACCACCCTCGAAGCTCTCAAATTGTTGTAGTTTTGGAGGGAATTGTGTTTATGGGCTTTGTTGTATCGAATCAAAATAATAATATCTTATTCCATAAAACCCTTTATCCTGGAGACGTTTTCGTAGCCCCACTTGGACAAATTCACTTGGAATATAATATTGGAGATAGTACTGCTGTTATTTTAGTTGCTTACAACAGTCAGAATCCAGGAATCGTAACTATATCTAATGCTATTTTTCAGTCTAATCCACTTATAGATTCTTATATTCTTGCTAAGGCATTTCAACTGAATATTGATGTGGTAGAATACTTACAACAGGCAGCTTAGTATCACAAGGAAAGTAATATTTACTTTTGGTATATGTTACAATAATATATTCTAAATGTGGCTGCTAATAATTACATACAATGTAATGAAGAAGGTATCGAAAATTTATCTTTCTCTCTATGTTTGTTGTAAAAAGACTAGTAATACAACGTTTGAAGTTTGTTCTCTCTCTCTCTCTCTCTCTCTCTCTCTCTCTCTCTCTTCATTTTTCTATTAAAAGTGGGGAAAGAACATATACATACGCAAAGTGGATGAAAATATTAATTTTATACTTGAAAGGTTCTTATATATATTGTTTATACAGGCCTGTTGAATTAACCAAATTAAAAGAAATAAAAGGAAGCATATAACCTACATTTTTTATTATATATTCATAACTTTTCTTTTTAATTTCTACTTATGTATTTGAATAAATATTTATTGAATTTACATTATAAAAAAAAAATAGTTCAAGCCTTTCTAGGGACAGAAGTGATTCTTCTTTAAAATTATCCAAGAAACAAAAATTATCAATTGTCAAGAAAAGACAAGTCTTTTATTGGCAATTAAAAATGAAGGAAAGAATTAAGTAAAACAAGCAAATAATGAAGGAAATTCAAGAAATAAATAAAATATCTCCCATCTGTTGCACCAATGCAAACAGCTCCCACCCCTCCACACAAATTTTCCATTAGTCTTCCAAGCTCAAAGTACCTCATATGAAAAACTCAATTCATAAGCGTTCTCAAAAATCAAAATTTTTGAGTGCTTGTAGATAAAACCCTCTTTACCTCCCTCCAAATTTTTATCGGACCCTTCTAACCCATCTCGATAAGTTCCTAACTCGAAGTTCATATTCTCTCATCGAAAGGATCTGCCATGCATTTCTCTGTCTGTAGCTGTCTTGGTGGTTCTTATCTCTTTTTTTACTGTTTTACGTGCCTTTTCTGGTTCTTTTTATTCATTTCCAGCCTATATTTTACTTATTTTATGTATTTTCTGAATTTGTTCTGTTATTTGCTTGCTTCCTGAACCTCTTGGCATCTTTGGTTGCGAATGAACCATGTCTTATTAATCGTTCTTTTATCTAATTCCATCTTACTCAAAATATAATATCTTGTTCTCTCAAATTAAAAAAACCTAAAACCTAAAACCTAAAATAATTGAATCAAAGAAATATTCTTTTATCTAACCTTCCTCCCACTGTCTTCCATTCCCCATTTCGTTCCTTTTCCCCTCAATGATACATGCAACCAATTACCTTTACTCCTTTTTCTTATTGCAACACTAGCTACGTATACATATATATATATATATATAAGAAATACATAGGTGTATATATATGTATAGTAGAAAAATGGAGGCTGTAGTTGAATCGGAGGGAGGTATGGAGAGAAGTCTCGGCGCTCGCCCCAACCACACCACTATTCTCACCCATGGCTTCACGTTCTCTTTTTCTTTCTCTTTTATTAATTTTTCTTCTTCAAATTCCATTTAAACATTAATTATTTTTTATAATAATTAATTACATGCATATATTAGTTTAATTTTCAAATTTAATTTTAGCGAACCTCTTGGTTTATGTAATGCTTAATCATACATAATTAATATTTTTTTTATGAGGTAGTTAAAGTGGTGCTACCATCACCTAGTTAAATAATATAACATACATACATATATATATATGTATACTTATAAGATTTATATTTGTTTCCTCATGAAAATCTGGGCGATTATTATCTTCCAAAACACTAAGCACATTACATATATGGACAAGGATGGGCGTGTAGCAAACCAACATCATGCAGCAACCATTTACCTAATTATTTATAACGCTTTTCTTCATTGGAACAAAATGTTTTTGTAGGCGTATCATATTGAATGTTCTTTAATGGAATCAAATTAATTCTAGTTGGATAATGTTAATTAATTACACTAATAATTAAAACTCTTTAGTCACTCAGTATATATATTTCTTTCAAAAAATTATATATTTCTGTATACCCTCTAATCACATTATATCAATATAAAATTATTTATGATCAAGACGAAATATACAAATAGAAAAAGAAAGATAATTTAAATTTGTATATGAGTGCCGACCTTATTTTTAAATTAAAATGACAAGTGACCAACTAACTAAACGGAATCAAAACAAACCCATTATATATATGTATATATATTAGTGGATTTTTCATGCAAAAGTTTTCCCCTCACATTGAAGAATTGCTTAAATATATCAAACTATTACTACCAACAATTTAGTTTATATCAAGAATGAAGATTTTTCATTTTCTGTAGTCGTTGTTATCTTGGCTTTGGCATCATCCTTTGCTTTTGGTTATGATCCAAGTCCTCTTCAAGACTATTGTGTTGCCATCAATGACACGGAACTTGGTGGTAACGGTCTTCTTCTTTTTTTTTTATTCATCATTTAGAAAGAATTATGTCACATTGATTCATTCAATAGATGTTATATAAATTATTGAACTGCTAATACACATTATTTTCTATGTAGTCTTTGTGAATGGAAATTTTTGCAAAGATCCGAAAGAGGTCACGTCCAATGACTTTTTCTTTTCAAATCTTTTCACTCTTTTAGACACCAATAATCAATTTGGATTCAATATCACATTTGTTTTTATTGATAAATTCCCAGGACTTAATACTCTTGGGATATCGTTAGCGTATGGTCAATTTGCACCTCGTGGTGTATCTCCTCTTCATTTTCACCCTCGAGGCACTGAAATGGTCATACTTCTGGAGGGAACTCTGCTTGTTGGTTTTATTGCATCGGATCAAAACAATAATACCTTCTTCTATAAAATCCTTTACCCTGGAGATGTTTTCATCTTCCCAATTGGACAAATTCACTTTGGTTATAATATTGGAAATACTACCGCTGTTGTCTTAGTTGCTTATGGTAGTCAAAATCCAGGAGTTACAGCAATATCAAATACTATATTTGGATCAAATCCACCTATAAACCCTTATATTCTTGCTAAGGCATTTCAATTGGATATTGATGTGATAGAATATTTACTAAGTGTATTTTAATATGACAATGTTAGTAATATCTATAATTTGACAAATGTTACAATAATATCTTTTAGATATGACTGTTAATAATTATGTACAATGTAATGAAAATATATTAAACACTTACCTTCCTATCTATTTTTGTTATTAAAGATTATTATAATGCAAATATTTAAAATTTGTTGCCTTTCTCTTTCTCTTCATTTTTTCCTACTCAAAAATGGAGAAAGAACACATACATATATATGCCAAGTGTATGAAAAGATTGATTTATTATACGGCTGGCCCTTTGGTTTTCTGTAATTTTTTTATTATATACTAATACCATTCTCTTCTTACTTTTCAAAAAAAAAAAAAAAACCTAGCTTGAAAAATAATATTTTCTCATCTTGTAATTACTAGTTCTATATTTCAATCAATATATTCAATTTACACTACAACAACAATGACATATGGTAACGATCATTTTTCGTGATAGACAACATTTTGTCAATAAAAATATTATGCACAAATGATTAGCGTTTGTATAGGTTGGTATTACCGACAAATTTATATCATCAAAGGTCATCCTATACAAACAGTTTCGATTTGTATTTGTATAGCCTAACTTTTACTAACAAAGTGGCCATTCTTAACTAAAATAATGTTATTCAAACGATATTCATAACCAGCAAATAACTTCTGAGTCCATTTCACATCCAAGATCACTCCAAAACACACAACGAGGATTTGTCTTCTCTTATTCCTCTTTCTTATTTATTTTTAAATTAAAATAAAGTATTCAAATATTCAAATACACACTCTTCATGTACTGAAATAGAGGTTTTTTAATAATAAAAATATATTCATTTATATCGATATTAGTAATATATGAATAAAATTATTTATATAAAATGATTTACAATGGCTATATAATCTAATTGGCTGATGTTAATAGTCTCGGACAAACTTTCATTTACATATCAATTTACAATGCATATTTATTATCCATTGATGTGTCACGACTCACATACGGTGAGTCATGTGAAGTATGATTATCATCATCATTACTATTATGTTAATAAATTAAAAACATGAATATCATTACTTCAATTAATAAAAACATTAATATAATAATTGACAAAATTTAACTTCGACTGCTAATATATTTAATTTCGTACTACTTATGAATCTAGCACAAAAAGACCCATTGTGAGCCTACTTGTGTAAATATTAAATATCATTACCTTAATTTACTTTATAGCATTTTACCCATTAGCAAATCCTTAAAGCAACTAATCTAAGCCATAACACCAAAGTATATCATAGGGCAAGGATGTGTGTGTACCAAATCAACATCAGCATGAACAAAATTTTTCGTTTTTATCTTTATCAAATTGAGTGTTGCTTGATGGAATCAAATTTAATCTTGTTAGTTAATTACCTACTAGTGAGAGATTTATATTTAAAATTATATATAAATGTTATTATAGCATGTCTAAGGATGTGTTTAACCATGTTCCATACGTATAATAGATTGAGTTGTATTTTCTTGATAAATCTTATTAAATTTTTTAGTGTATTTTATTATGAATCTCAGCTATTTTTAAAAAATAATTATTTATTTTTCACTAGATATTTAGTGTCACCTAATTTATAAAATTATTTTTTAAAAAATTGTTTTATAAAATTAAGTACTCTTAGGATCAATAAAAATGCCCAATAAATGAAAATATAATTAATTAATAAGATTAACATTATTGGGCCTTTCTTTTTTTTTTTTTTTTGTTTATTGAAAATTAATGCCACTTAATTATTTTACAAGGTATCAAAACCATAAATCTAATATTGGAATTCTAGAGTTTTTACATATTGGCCATAATTAATTATTTAACATGTTTAAGTTGTAAAAATCTTTTAGTTACTTTATAGTTTTATTAAAAGGAAATAAAATTACAAGCCTACACAAAAGAAAACACAAGATAGTAGTAAAAAAAAAAAAAGTATAAATATAGTTATTT